ATGTAGGCTTAGCAAGACCCGAATGGACGATTTGGCGTGGCTTTCAGAGCATAAAACCACCGAAAATCAAGAATTGTGCGCCCTCCCCCTGTATTTTATTGCTGTTGGCCTAGACAATAGTTTGTGCAGGCCTCGCAAATGCATTATCTGTAGGGTGGGGATGTTCGAAGTAAAATAATTTAGTTGCGGATGTTGATGCCTGTCATGGTTGTTAGCATGAATTGCATTATAATTCTTACTGTTACTGCTCCGTCCTTACAGCTGTCGTTCTGAATCGCATTGCCGAAAGAGATGTTTATGCTTGTAGTTTCTCTTGCCACTACTACTGCGACGACGCCTACTACTACTCCTACTCCGACTGCTACTGCTAGTAGCCACGGCGACTACTGTTGCTGCTGTTGTTGGTGATAATGGTGGTGTTGTTGTTGTGGTGGTGGTAGTGGTGGTAGGGGTGGTTGTGGTGGTTGTGGTGGTGGTGGTGGTGGTGGTGGTGGCGGCTGTGGTGGTCGTTGTCGCTGTCGTCGTTGTCGTTCTCGTTGTCGCTGCCATTGTCGGGCCGGTTGTCCTTGCCGTCGTCTTTGTTGCTGCTCCTTACTGGCGACTTTCGTGGAGATGCTCGCCGGCCGAGCTCGAGAGCCTCTCTTGAGAAATGCTAATGAGCTTTGAGACCTCCAGCGTGCTGTTTTCAAGAGATGTCGCCAAAGATCGGCCGACTGCAGATTTGTCGCAGGTACACCCTTGGGGTGCCAAGCATGGCTGGCAGGTGACAGTCGTGCAATCAGCATAAGCCTCCTGCGCAATCCCTGGGATGCATGAGGTTGGTGACATCATCGTGGATATCGCTGGGCAGCCCGTTGGCTGCTCGGAGGTTTGAGATTTCAGGTTACACAACCTAAACTAAGTGGGCTCCCAGGTGAGCTCCTTCGAGCAGCTCTGGGAACGTATTCAGGTGCTAGGGCTGCCCTTGGCCGGCCGTCTTAACCTTGCCTGGGAGCAGGTGGAGCGAAACCGGCCTCCGGTGAGATTTACGGTGGAGCGCTGGAATGTCCAGACAACTGCAGAGGACACTCTCAGTGCTTCTTCGGTTTTGCCAGCACTCATACGACGCAGGAGGAGGCGGTAATCGCGGCGCAGGATCCAGATGTACAGCTCAAAAAGCAGAAGAAGCTAGTAGCAGAGGCTGGGTCACATGCACTTGCAGACAGGTGTGTATGTTATCATGGCCTCAGGATCGGGAGCAGAGGTCGCGGTCCACCGAGTGCCAGTGTGGTGTCTCCGGCATGGGGACCTTTGTTTGGGCGCAGGTCAAAGTCGCGGATTGCCAGCAAGCAGCAGCAGCAGACCCCTCCAACCACAGCCTCGTATGCTACTCAGCCTTGCGACGGAACTGAAGCAGCCGTTTGCAAAACGCATGCATCTGTGCTCTAAGGGACAAGCCCACAGCTTTTCCCAGGACTTTGGGACCTAATGCGCTTGCGCTCAGCCTGCCGTCGCTCTTGTGGGACTGAACAGACGTCGACAATTTTCGCTAACCAAGACCGCGATGTATTCAACATGCTACTCGACACTGAAAGCTGCAGGCCTTACCCGGCATGGCGTACGGCTGCCACCTTGGACGAGACTGCCTGTTCCATCAGCTGACTTCGAATGCCGCTTCGACTGAGGCTGGGACGACTATGACGAAGAAGAGGCATGATCGCATGTTCACGTTGTGTCATACTTGGCTTGTCAGATATTGAGCTAGATACTAGTATTGTGAACACGAGGAAGAGGAGTATGATGAGTATTCCGACTACTCTGAAGACGACTCCCGCAGCTCGCTCGCATGTTCAGCTAGTCAGGGACTTCACCTGCAATTAGATCGCCGACAGACTACTTCCGGATAGTGATCTGCAGTCCCCTCAAGCTCGTGAGGGACATTTTAAGACCTAAGTAGCACTATGAGCTGTGCCTGTGCCAGCGGGTTGGTGCGACGAGCATGGCAAAGGTATACGGCAGTCCACAACCTCCAGCTTTCCAGCGGGGAGGTATAAGTGGGCCACTCAAGACAAGGGCCACTAAGACTTCATTTTCGTGACATCTCATTGTCCTATCAGACATCCCAATATCAGGTCCCGCTTCACTGCAAATTTCGAGGCAGAGCAAGCTGTGCTTCACATTTTGAAAGGGTCGGTGTGCTGTCCGTGCAGGTTATTAAGAAAGACACCCCGGAGATACAGGACCTGAGAGTGACGGAGTGTTGATGTGGCCCTCCGTGTCCTGCCACGCAGCGCACGGGAGGAGGATCCACCCAAAGAAGGTGAGCCATCAAACACCGGCCCCGAAGAAGCAAAGACGATCGCAGAACGCTTCTTCCCAAAGGACATGGAGCGTCGGCTACCCATGGACCAAACTTTTTCTGGCTGTGCGGCTATGAAACTTTCACCAGAGGCCGAACGTACGAGAAGAACAAAGTCGTCTTCACCCGTGATGTGGCAGACTTGGACATTAGCAGTCTTAGCGATCGCATTTGCTGGAGGCCCAGGTAATGCAGAGTCCTGAAGTAACCCAGGCCTGGGGGCGCTCGGTTGTGAGAGTTATGAACCCAACGCACCGCGGTGACTAAGTCACCCCGTGGCCGTGGCTAGTTCAAGGACAGCTTGAGCTCACAAGCTCGGCAGATCCCATGCAAGTGCATGCTTTTCCTGAACCTGGAATGGAATGAACGGTCGTCATAATGATGAGCCAACGGAGACGACAATTGCCGTTTGGATATGGTCTCTGCCGCTCCAGGAAAATTAAGGCTTCAAACGGACCGGCAATCCAATGTGAAGCACCCTGCATGAAGATACTGCAAGCATGCCTCACGACCATTCCCATACCCATCAAATACCCATCAAGCAGGAGGAGAAGCACTACTCTTTGTGACGACGTGTTGCTAGCTGGCCATACCTAGATTCGTGACCGATGCGACGATGGTTGATTGTTTGTCTGTTTTGCTGCCCATCCCTCCCCATGTTAACGACGGCCTTTCCCACGAAGCGGGCGAGGACGATTCCGGCAGAATTCAAAGAGTGTTTGTGTGCCAAAAAATGCTCATGGAGGTTCCGGCTTGTTGCGCGCAGGAAGACTCAGAGTCTGCCGCTCCCGTGCAAATCCACAATGGCATTTGGCTCGCATGAGGTCACGGTAGTGGATAGGGATCTTGGTAGGGTTAGGGATCTCCTTTTGAGCACCCCAAGGGGGGCCCCTGCCCAGCCCTGTGTCAGCCTTGGGAGCTTCAAGAAGGTTCCAAGTTCAAGCTCATGCACGTCCAAGCCAGGACATGGTCAGTTCTGACGAAGATTCTGCACTGGTGAAGAAGGAAGGGCAGGTGGATTCTAAGGAGGACCTCGAAGCGGTCGCTCTGCGGGAGACGGATAGAGACACGCAGGCACCTCGCGCGCACACTATTTTGCAGGACCCTCTCAACCCTGACAATGATCCCGAATTAGTTGCTTGGCGTCAAGAGTCAAGGGGTGATGACCGCTGTTTTAAGACTGCGCATCTGCTCAGGAGAAAAATGGGAAGGGTGGAAAGCCCCGAGCCGAGATGGTTTGGCTCTTACCATGCGATGCGAGGGCTCTGCCTCCAGGTTCCAGTCGAAGGTGGCCATTCTGCAGGTCACGTGGAGGCAAGGCAAAAGGCAGGTGCAGTAGACGTCACATGCCATCACCGAACATGAGAGAGGTTCCCAATCGATACTAATCCGCTCAACATCTTGGCGCTGATCTATGGGTCGCCCTGCCGCTGGCTTCGGTTCGCTGTGCTTCCGTGGCATGGCGTATCTTCTGCTTCTGCCTCGAACCCTGATCGACAGACTGACAGGACTGCATTGCCGCTTCGCCTGCTTATTCAAGTCGTGCTAGAGCGGAGCACATGTCTCGAGTTCGACTATACCGAACACAGCCCAGTAAATTAGAAACCACATTGAGCATTTTGCAACTGGCCTAAGTTCCGGAAATCGACATGTGACGAGCTGTTTCTACGGCAACATATAAATATGAGATAAAGCAATAAGTCCTCGCAGCAGCGACAGCATCAGTGGTGGTAGTGGCAGTAGCAGTGGTGGCAGTAGTAGTGGT